AAAACTCCAGAAATGCAAAACCTATTCAGAATTAGAGATGGTATAGAATCTATGGATAATATGGGACCTGTTGAATTTGGTTGCTCTGTACAAGTTGTTTGGTCTCCTACACACACACCATTTCTCCATGAGTTTGGCAGCAGCAAACAAAGTTTTCACACACTCAGCAGTTGATCCACCAGGTAAGGCAGATGGATTGTGTGGTGTGGCTGGCTTGTTGGCTGCAATAAGCTGGAGAAATTGGCACCAGCTCCCCTAAGCCCCCAGAGAGAGGGAAAGTACTATGGATGTGATGCGCGCAGACATTTTTCACTCATATATTTGATGGATTGGGTGGGCTTGAACACTCCCAAAAGATGTGGCAGAAAGATACAAACAGCAGGTATTTGGAATTCCCCCAAAAGGCCAGAAATATACAAGGAGAAGACCGCACAATTAGTCTGTCTGGTCAATGTGCATGACTTTAAAATACGCAGGCCCGATAAGTTAATGTTTAGATGAAGGCTGTCTTCAGTCAAAAGTCTTATTTTGAAAGACTTTGAACCATCCTGGTTGGCAAATTCTGCCAACCTTCATAGGCAGACTACGCATGGATACATGTTTTTTTCTTGAATAGTAATGTTACTGTGCTGCAACAAAAACAGGAGTTAGTATAAGCTTTGGACCGTATAACTGATTCAACCACTGTATTTGTAATTATTTCTGTGCTTTTCTGTTAATATACAATGGGCTGGGTCCAACGGTCCCCGAGTAAATCTCTGCTCCCAGAAAAGGGGAGCTGATGTGATTTTTCCAGATTCCTTCTGAAGTCCCACCACCAGTACCCCCCCCATAAAAAAAAATGGGCGGGTTGGATGACTTCTTAACAGAGTGGGAGGTGGCACAAGGGACTGCAGTGGGGGAAATCTGCAAAATTTGCTTTGCTGTTCCTGTTTGCAGAAGCTTCCACTGGATTAAAGCTCCTTCTGCAAATAGGACTCCTTCCATTCATGGCAGGGCTCTGCTGAATCCAGCCCAATATATTCTTTCTCAAATACCAAACACCAGATATACAAAAAAGTGCAGTTACAAACTTTTTACTTTCAGGTCTTCTGCTGAGGCCTCTGTCACTTTTGATGTGGACTCATTCACAAATGCATTAGATAAAATACTGGGTGAGTTTACTGCTGGTGGTGGAAATTGAGAGATAGAGGTATCTTGAAATATAAATCATGTTATCCTTTTGCCTGAATCTCTCTGTTTATTACCTGCCTTTTACCCTAGATCCCCAGGTCAGGATATATAAACTACAATCCAATCGCAAAATAAAGTATAATCAGCAAAAAGTAAAACAGCAATAATAAACGCATAAAGCAGATATAATATTCTTCCCAAAGTATTAGCAAGCAGTTTTATTGGTTATTCAAATAGATTCTCATTCTCTCCCTCCCTCCCTGGGGGCATTGATTCTATTATATTTCTAGGAGCAAATTCAGAAGAGTTGGACTCTGATGATTTAGAAGAGGAAGAAGAGTTTGAATTCCTAGACAGTGATGAGGAATCTGAGCTAAAAGCTGAAAGTCATGGGGAAACAGTATCACAGATTGAAACACCTGGAAGTCTCAGATCATACATGGATGAAATGGACTCTGAACTGGCATCCACCAATATTGGGAAAAGCTTTACTAGTCGGCCCAAAGTGGTATGTTTAACTTAGATTTCCTATCTAGGGACCATTAGGGAGAAGAAAGAAGTATTCAATCATTATGTTGTTCCAAAAAACCCTACAATTTAACCTTGCATAGTGCTTCTAACATTTGGCTGTCTCTGCCAACAGCTATGTGATTTCATTAAATATCTCTGCATGCAACATAAATAAAAACATAATTAAAATTTCACTGTTTACCTTTTTCTACAGGTTGGGTCTGGTAAAGGATCTTCGTCCCAAGACCCTGACAGTGATTTTGAAGACAACATTGGTGCAGAAGACACTGACTTGGCACCTGTGGATATAGACTTGAACCTTGTGACTAACCTGCTGGAATCATATAATGCTCAAGCTGGACTAGCAGGACCTGCCTCTAATCTCCTACAAAGCATGGGAGTACATTTGCCTGAAAATACAGACAAAAAATCTCAATAGCGGTTCAAATGGAGAAATCTGGTTACGTGTCATAACAGAAGCCCAAGAGCAGTTCTTGGATTTTTATTTTTTTACTGAGGGATGAAAGCTTTTCAGAACCCAGGAGACCTAGTATGCAAACTACTGTAAATACATGTGAGCAGCATACAGTATTCAGTTTCACTTGCTACCCTTGCGGAACCACCTTTTTAAAAAAAGAAGTCATGGGTGTATACAGTATAAGAAATTAAGAGGGAGGATTGAAAATATTTTTCTATAAGACTTTTTATATTCAATAAAAGGCACGTAAATGTACATTTTTTCATGTTGTCATTTTAGTACTAAAAATATTAGAAGGGCGCAGAGGGCTTCTGCAAAGACAGTGTTTGCAAAAGATCAAAACTCTACCCTTTTTTCTTTTTTTGCTTACTAGTTGTAATAACTGGAAATTTGATTATCTTTCAGTGCAGCTTCTTTTATATTTATCTCCAATATTAGATAATTCGGCATTCAGTGATTATGCAGGAAAAAGCTTTCTGCATCTATCGGTGTGGTTAAGCAGTTCAGAGAAGGCAACATTAATCTGTTGAGCTGATCGTGGCTGTTAAGGTTTTCTTTGTGTTCTTTGTACAGATATATTTTCTGTGTGTTTGAACAGCACTTGCACTAGGATTGACCTTGCTTGCCAACATTTAGGCTGTCAGTAGCCTATTTTACATAAGGAGTCAATTGTAGGTTGAACTCCTGATGCAGCTGAGTCAGATCTGACTTCTGTCTCAAGTCCTAAGTATATTCCTTTTGAACTGGCTTTCATCTTCCCCATCTGCAATATGAACAAGTTGATTTAATAAGTTGCCCAATGATGTCATAATCTCTCCAGCTTGTGAAAGTAAACTAATTTCAAATGAAATAACTCACCGTCTGTTAAAAGTGATGATAAAACCAAGCCAGATTACTGCCTTTTCTTCAAGCTCTTTTTTCTCCATACAAAATTAAATAATTGTAGTGGGGAAAATGTTTTTCTTTTCTCCATTATAGTTTGCATTAAGTTTGTTTTTATTGTCTTTCCAACCCCCCTCACTGTTAAAACTCAACTTTGACGTAGGTAAACATTCAAAAACAGCTGCAGGTAAAAAAAATGAAGGTTCTAGAACAATAAGAGCATTCTAGAATGATAAGAGCATTCTAGAACAGCCTTTCTCAACCTGTGGGTCCCCAGATGTTGGACTACAACTCCCATCATCCCTGAGCTCTGGCCTTGCTCACTAGGCATGATGGGAGTTGTAGTCCAACATCTGGGGACCCACAGGTTGAGAAAGGCTGTTCTATAATGCTCTTATCGTCTTTCTGTCCTCAAGTAGTTACTGGAAGTATATTTTAATTTTGATACTGCTTTTCCATATCCGTAAGTTATACATGATGAAAGTTTACAGCTGAAGGGACAAACTGCATCCTGAAGTGGGGCGGGGGGTGTCTCAAGTGCAATGTTGCTTCCTGCCTTCACGTGGTTCCATGTCACAACTCATTTGTTTTTGTGGGAACAGTGGAGAACTTAAGTCTTTGACTGTTTTGTCCAGGAGTGGACTCTTGATTCCCAGCAGCCCCAGTCACTAAGGACAATAGTCAGGTATGATGGGTATTGCAAGCCATGAACAATGAATGGACGACAAGTTACTCACCCTGATTTACCAGCTTTCTGAAGTGTAAGGTTGCCACCAACTATTAGTAGCTTCAGTAGTTGCTACTGAAAATGGGTGGGTGAAAGGAGAAATTACTTTTCCCACTAAAGAATGACTAGCTTTCAGTTGTACCATGGAAGCCAAAAGCCTTGGCTCTCAAACAAATAGCTCCCGAATGATTGAAACCCAGAAATGAGTGTTCCGGTTTTCGAACGATTTTTGGAAGCCAAACGTCCTGCAGCCAATCGGAAGCCATGCTTTGGTTTTCGGGCGGTTCCAGGAGTTGAACGGACTCCCAGAACGCATTCTGTTTGAAAACCAAACCACTGCATTTCCTTTTGTAAAATGGGATGTAGGGGTCTGTTTACATGGTTCAAGTTTTACTGTAAATATGATCACCCTGCCTGAAGTATTTTCTTCTGACTTTTCTATTAAGTACCAATAAGTATCTGCTTCTGGCCTTTCTCAAAAGAAGGAATATATCAAAACATTTTACCACAATAGAAGGAAGTACTGACATTCATTGCTAAGCTTCAAATCCACCCTTCTCTTGGAACGGAATACATCCCTAGAGGGGGGAGGTTATGCAAAAACAAAAACAAAAAAATAGGAGTATTACAGCTGCTCCTAACAACTCTCAAGATAGCTAAAATACTTGCAGTCATTTGCTAGTCTTTCAACATGCATGGAAAATTAGGGCATGCGCTACCTTAAACATGAATATCAATTAAAATAAATGTTAACAATTCATTTATCAAACATCTATGGTAAAGAATGGACAATTGCTCCCAAACTTAAGTATAGGAGGTCGTGGATGAAAAGTGTAACATTTGTTGAGGCCAAAAGAAGCCATCCACTCGACTTTGGTTCCAAGAATCTCATAAGGTCTTTTTCAGAGAGTGGCAGGCCGCAATACAGAGTTCTGTTGGGCTGAAACATCTATTGAACTTTCCTGAGGAAAGGGCAGTTGCTGTGCCTTCCACATTTTGACTGATAAGCAGGCTCCTGAACTGAATGTGACCTCTATATAACTGATCTGAGTTTCCATCTGGAACATTTAATTAAATAAGCTGTTGAACCAAATGGGTGCTTCAACCGCATTTATCACTGCAACCTTATTCCAGCTACATTTTTGCAGCATTTTTGAACAAGAAAACAGTCGAGCACTCTGGCTTGGAAGCAGTATATGGGCAATATTCCCAGAAAGAAGAAATCTAGGCTGATGGAATCCTTTTTATTTGCAGGATGAGAGTGTTGTACACAGACAACGCCCAGGACAGGAAAAATTGTGAACTACCATAGGGAAACAATGAAGCAAATAATAATAATAATTCTGGTTTGGTATATCAGTTCCTTAAAAGAAGTAGGAAACAGTTCAAACCTCAGAGAGCTTATAGCAATAGCAGTAAATACTAAGAGCTGCATTCTGAAGGCAAGTCTATCTACTTTCTGCCAGGAAGATGGAATTCAGTTGCAGGCTGTCACAGAGGAAGTGAAATAGAAGATGAGAGCTGAATGCCTTTACTAAAGTGAACTTTACAAATAACTGTAGAGTATTCGTTTTTCAGCTGCCGGCTGACTTCAAACTGTTTAGAGGTTTGTACAATTAAGCAGCATATAAATGTCACTAAATAAAATAAAAAAATCACATTTCTGGTGGTGTAAGCTTTTGAGAGGCTTTTGTTTTTAATTGGAACTTTGGCATTGTATCTAGCAAATAACTTTACAAAACATCGGGAGAGTCTTTAGACCAGAGCTTGCCAACATGTCACTGGCCATGGGATCCATGCCCCTCGCTCCTTTTCCCACTGAATTTGGGCCTGAAATACTCATTGTTGCCAACAGCAGAGGCTGTGGGGTGGGTGGGTGGGTGGGTGTAGTGCCCACAACAATTGCAAATCATAGAATCAAATGTGCTCATGAGTCCAACAAGGCCAGCAACCATTGCTTAGGGTCAACTCTGACTTACCAGTTATACTCTAGAAAAGCACTTGGGAATGATTTCCATCAAGAACTGTGAAACAATGGAAGCTGCAGGGAGGAGCCACTGACCCTTAGCAGCATCCTCCCCCCCCCCCTTACAAACCCATCCAGCTGATATATATATATACACCTTCAGGATCTGACGGACAAATTCTTTAGCCTCAGGCAAAAGTGTGAAATGGAACCACCCTCTCTGCCTATAAATGTCCTGCAGAAAATCTTAACATATGGAGTCACTGAAATTAAAAGGTCGACTGGCACTCGGATATTTACCTGGAGCAGTAAATGATTGAATAAGTGTCTCTAAGTAGGCACAGGACCTTGCTTTTTGACCCATTCCTGAATCAGTTGATGGGCTATGGCTTGCTTAGGTGGCACCCAAAATGAGAGGTTGTCATCCTTGTCTTTGGAAGGTTTTGGGTTCCGCCCAAGAGCCTTCACCACTTCCCCATGGCTGAACCACTCGGCAGCTTCTAGCTCCTGTCTGTTGATATTAATCTGCAAATGAAAAGTTTTAAAAATAAAAACAGCAGCGTCATAACGAAAGCTTAGAGTAGTGTTGTAGTTAACAGACAGGAAGCCTCAAGTACCAATCTCGCCCCTGTCACACAATCACCTGGTGGCTAGACAATGGACTCCTGCCTCTCCCCACAATCAATGTGAAGTTAATAACAATAACCTATCTTAACAGCAACTCCTGCAGCCTGGCTGGTGCCAAACATATTTCTCTGCTTTCCTTTGGACCACATCAGCGAGACCGTGAGGGGGTCTTGTCATATGAGCAGCCCAGGACCTCCATACACACTGCCCAGGCTTGCACCCCAGAAAGGTCACTTCAGTGCTGCTAACACAGCAAGTTGATCTCACCCCCAGAGGCACACTCCATTGTCTCTCGAGCCAGACAGATGCCAACAATGACAAATATGCATGTGTGTGTGTTTCTGTGTGCATACACACGTATCTCTTACAGTCGGCTATTTATGACAGTGAAAATAACTTCTGCTTGCCAGGCTGCTTGGATAGACAAGCAGGGCTGGGAATACGAATACACCTTCATGCTCTCCAGAACTGTTTTCAGTAGTCAAAACCACAGAAGAACCAAGACGGCGAAGGATTTTACGTCACTGATCATATACATTTAGATAAGCCAAATCAATAAAGCTTGGTTTGGTAACCTTGGGTCCCCAGATGTTGGACTACAACTCCCATCATCTCCAGCCAGTTTAGCCATTGGTCAGCAGTGATAGGAATTGTAGTCCAACAAGGTAAGTGGATCAAATGAAAGATTCCACCACCACCTCCTTACCTTGCTCTGTTGCGGGTTCACCAGGGCATGGCAGCCAATCATTAGCGTGCTGCTTGGGAATGGCCAATGCTGAGATGCAGAATAGCTGACAGACTCCACCTCTAACCCCACCTCTTCAGCCACTTCTCGCTGGAGTGTCTCTTCCAGAGTTTCACCTTGGGAGTAGAAAGAGTCTCTAAGGGCAGCATTGTATCCTGAGAAAAGGCTTACAAGTTTTCTTTTGAGTAGGCATGAGGATATACCTCACGATAAGCATTTCTTGTTTATGCTTAATGGATTTCCAGCCCACCTTTTAGGTTAAATGCCCTATTTTAACACAGTTCAAGCAGGGTTAGTCAAGCATAGTCAGTCAACCAACTTTTTTTTATCATGAAGGCTTGATGCTGGTGGTGTCTGAAGAGGTGGCTTGCTACTTGGTGGTACAACTGCCTTTGAAAAACCAGCATTTAATAGTTGCTTACTGTTACGTTTTCTTCCTAAATGAAATGCAAACTCGTCCCTGTTGAGTTAGGATAAAAACCAATGACAAGAACTGTTCCCTGAATTGTTCACATCTTTGAAAAGCCTACCTAACATTGTTAAGTCATAATAATTTATTGCAAGTCTTAAAAAAATTAATTCACTATTTCACAATAGCAGTTAACTTACTTGTTTTTGACAAATAAATACAATGATTAAACTTGGTGATAATAAAGATAAATAAAAAATGCTTGATGGGACAGCTGACCAATTTATTTATTTTTTTACTGGTCAAGTGCCCAACTAAGTTGGAAGAGTTGAGACTTGATCTTAACTATGTATTCTGACAAGTGGAGAACTTACTTGGCTGGTGGATTGCTGGAGAGCCACTGTAAAAAGTGACTCTGGTGTTTTGGATCAAGCGAACCAACAGGACAGGGGACTACCAATGGAGATACACATGTTTCCTTTACAGGCTGGTTTCCCTCAGTACTTTAACAGAGCTCCTTTCTTCAGCTAATCTTTATCACCACCAGCACTAACTGCTAAATGCTAAACACGGGAATCTAAAATGGCAGAATATGGCTTCCTTCTCATATCTACTTGCACCTTTTTCAGACTTCATCTTCAGCAGGAAAAATGCAAGAGTAATGAAGTTCCTTCCAGAAATCCATTTTGCTTTTATGGTATTAATCCACTTTTACCTTTGAGCTGCAGCTCTTACAGTACTGCGCTATTTGGACCAATGGTGTGACAGTACAAGACAGCTGTTTTCATGAGTCCTAAAGGAGGACTCAGTCCAAACACCAAGTTAGGCCAAGCAAGGAACCCAATTTGGCCTGCAAAGCTGTTTTCCCCAAACCAAGGCTATCTATGTACCCCACACCTGACATCATACGTGACATTAATTGAGGGGCAGGTAGAGACACGGTTGGATTGCCTGTGCAACCAAGTTTCTCAAGGAGAACTCAATCACATAACCACTCCCTGAAGAAAGCAGGCTTTAAATCACTGCCCATCCAGCACTGATGCTGAAAATATAATTGCAAAAAGCCTAACACAAGTGCAAAATGTCTAAGTCCATCAAGGTACTTCAAGAGCAGACTCAATTATTGTTAGTTTCAGCGTAAGTGCAATATAGCCATTAATTGTTGCTTCCCCAGGTTCGTAAGTTACATGCCAGACAATGAGCAAATTCTTGTTAGGTTCCCCACTACTCATCATATATCATCTCTGAAGTGAGCAAGTTTTCTACCACATGCTATGAGGTAGCAGGCCTCTAATTAGAATACTGTGCATGCAAACTTAACAGTCTGGTGTCACATGTTTCCTTACCTATATCACAGAAGCCAGACAGAGCACTGTACATCCCTTTAGGAAACGATGCTTGCCGTACGAGAAGGCATCGACTCCCATCAGACACCAAAGTAATAACAACTGGAGACATCTTTTTATGTTAAAAAAAAAAGCCAAAATGGACAAGAAATTAAGAGAGGGATCAGACCTGCTGATTCCAATATGGAGTACAAACTGCAACCACAGGAGTGGGATGTGTGAAAAATGCAAGCGACCACTACAAAGGCCCCCACACTTACACTTTCCTGGCTGTTATGGACAGACCCTAAAGGTAAAGGTAAAGGGGCCCCTGACCATTAGGTCCAGTCGTGACCGACTCTGGGGCCCCTGACCATTAGGTCCAGTCATGACCGACTCTGGGGTTGCGGCGCTCATCTCGCTTTATTGGCCAAGGGAGCCAGCGTACAGCTTCCGGGTCATGTGGCTAGCATGACTAAGCTGCTTCTGGCGAACCAGAGCAGCGCACGGAAACGCCGTTTACCTTCCCGCCACAGCGGTACCTATTTATCTACTTGCACTTTGATGTGCTTTCGAACTGCTAGGTTGGCAGGAGCAGGGACCGAGTAATGGAAGCTCACCCCATCGTGGGGATTCGAACTGCCGACCTTCTGATTGGCAAGTCCTAGGCTCTGTGGTTTAACCCACAGTGCCACCCGTGTCCCATGGGCAGACCCTAGAGCAAAAATAATTGGCAGTTCAGAACATAGGATCCTGTTGCGGACTTTGGCACCATCCCGACTATCAGGGTCCACCTTGGTGCTCTTGCGGGAACAAGAGATATGGAATGCATCTCTGCCTCTTTAAAACTTTTTCAAACAGCAGCTATGCAGGTGGGGTGGGGGGCTGGGTATGTTTGAAGATGCTAGGATTGGGATCCAATCCATGGTACTGGGGAATTCTGAAGGAGGGGGCCTTGATGGTTCCCCTGTTACACAATGCTTCCCTAGAGAAGCTTGTCTGATACCTTCACCAACATCTTTCAGGCACCAGACAAAGACTTCTCTGTTCTCTCAGGCCTTTGAACACCATCTTAATCCTTTAAAAATATTGAGAGTGACACTTTTATGGCTTTTATGATGGTCAGAAAGTGCTTTGTCCTTTTAGATTATTTTAGCTGTTTGTGATCAACTTTCTCTGTACAGTTTTGGCTTCCATATTATTTGACAACAAACAACAACAATGCATACTATGATTACAATTAATTGATTATTTTGTTTTTGTTTTAATCACGGTAAATGGTTCAATTCTACATTGCCCAGAGAGCCCAGGTACCTGGGTGCCCAGTGAATATAATAAATTCCTGCTCCTTTCTTGGCAACCTTTCAAGGGCCACATGCCACTGGTGAGGGGAACCAAAAGTAGGTAGAGCACTGGATGCAAATTTTACATTTGTACAGTTGGCTAGTTTCTAGATACACCCACAAACCTTCTCTGTCCCCCATCCAGACAAGCAAGATGCATGATCAGAGTTCAAAGACACATGCCAGCTGGACAAAAACATTTGAGGGTGCCCACCTGTGGGTAATAGATTATTTCACTGCTCTGACAAACCCGTTTGCTTCCAGCCAGGTTCTTCACTGTGAGCTGTCCTGTTTTCCCACAATACTGGTTGTTATCATGCCATCGAAGGAGAGCCTGAGCCTATAAACATCAATCAGGTTATGAAGAATGCTGAGAGGATACAAACTGCAACCCATTTGTTAACCTGCTCCCCCACCCATCAAAACTTGGTTTACAAAATAAGAACTAATTGCTCCAGGAAATGCATATTTTCTTTCCATATGGCATAGGTGTGAGGAATCTTTGGCCTGCCAGATGTTGCTGAACCACAACTTCCATCATCCCTAGTCATTGGCCATCTTGGGGGGCTGAGGGAAGTTGTAGTTCAACAACATCTGAAGGGCCCAAGGTTCCCCACACATCCTCTAACAATAGCACAACCTCTAACAGAAAAACCCTCAGGTCAAGTAGGCTAGGCAGAGGCTTGCCCAAGAATAACCACTGAGCTTCATGGATGAGAAACAGATTTGAGATTCCCACAACCAAACACAACACTCTAGACAATACACCATGCTAGCCCTGAAACAAAAGGAGCCACCCACCATCTTCTTTGGCCTCCGCATCCACTTGCTCTCAGGAGCGGGCTTCTCAAGTATTGCCAGGGGTTTATAAGATCAGAATAAATTACTCCCCAATGGATTGCTTTCCTTAATCACCACTGCAGCCCTTAGAGGGCTTTATTGTCTTCAAGAGCCCGCTTTGATGCCCCTCAAGTAAGAGCATCACAACTGTGGAGTATATGCACATCTTTGGCCCTGGACAACCCAATTGCCAGCTCCGGTAAGAGTTGGTTCTCCCCCAGTGTGGTGAATAAACAACAGCCGACACTGCTATGGGCTGGGCACACTTCAACCAAAAAGATAAAACCATTTCTTGAGGACTTTGATGTGGTAAAGGGAAATGTGGGAACCAGCCCCAAACCGCAATAAGTATAAGAAGCGGTTCAGTTTCACCCTCCCTCTTACATCAGTGTGTTCTACATAGGAAGCTGCAGCATAGTGAATCAGGTCCATCTAGCTCAGTATCTTGTATACACTGACTGGCAGGAGGTCTCCAGAATTTCAGGTAGGGTTCTCTTCCAGCTCTTCCTGGAGATGCCAGAAAGTGCACCTAGGATGCTAAGCCAAGGTTCAACCACCTAAGGCAGGGGTCAGCAACCTTTTTCAGCCATGGGCCAATCTACTGTCCCTCAGACCATGTGGTGGGCCAGACTATATTTTTGGGGGTGGGGCGGGAAATGAATGAATTCCTATGCCCCACAAATAACCCAGAGATGCATTTTAAATAAAAGCACACATTCTACTCATCTAAAAACACGCTGATTCCTGGACCATCTGCGGGCCGGATTGAGAAGGCGATTGGGCCGCATCCGGCCCAAGGGCCTTAGGTTGCCTACCCCTGACCTAAGGGATTGTGTGGTGGAGCCTCTAGCAGCAAGTGGCAGCGCAGTCTCAATATCACAGAGGGGCAAGGCATGACAGGCCCCAGGTTCTTTGGCTAAAAATATTCGGCCTGCTCTGGTCAGGGTCTCTGAATGTCATTGGCTCAGCTGGGCTGTCCTGATAGCAGGCAAACGGGTCTACGGTGATGGAAGAAGTGTTGGAGGAATGAGGCAGAGAGGATAAGGCTGGAAGGATATTTGTGAGGAGAATAAAAAGTGGGAGAGAAAATTAGTTCACAGGGCCAGAATCTGCAGATGTAAGAACATCTGGATTTTAAAAACAATGATTTGAATTAACAGCCCCATCTTGGTCTTCAGCTTTCTAACACTAATATAATATCCAACACAAGCAGTCTCTGTGTTTACACGTAAAATCATACCGTGGAAATCAAACTGGCATCTTCTTCTTCTAACTGAAAGAAAGCTTTCCTCATTTCCCCAAATGATCCATTGAGTTCAGCTTCAAGGGCAGATCTTTCCAAGGATCCTGGAATTCAATAAATCTGTGGGAATTGGATATCTCAGTTACTACCCCTACCCCCCACGCCCTTTGATCTATATCAATAGCACATGATTATGGCACTGTAGCTGATAATAATAATAATAATAATAATAATAATAATAATAATAATTTTAGTATTTACACCCCGCCCATCTGGCTGGGTTTCCCCAGCCACTCTGGGCGGCTCCCAGATGAGACTGCTGCTGTCACACAGGCGTCAGCGTCATCTCAAAAGCAGTATGTTCTTACAAAATGAAGACACATTAGGACAAATCGACTTCAGTGAAAAGCGGGTGTGAAAAGTATAGGCCTGTATACAAGTTTGAAGGTGACACCATATTATTCAGGATGGTGAAAGGCCAACTTTTCTGCAAAGTGTTCCAGAAGGATGGCTCCAAATTGAGTGAGTGAATGGGCACCAAAATAAGAAATCAAATTCAATACAATTAAGCATAAAGGGATGCACATTACTGGGAGCTGAAGAACTGGCTATCTCCCACCTCGGGATTAGAGCAGGATATATATGTATTGTTATGGGCTGGGGGGCCAGTCTGGATGATATCCTTGGATCCCTTCCAGGCCTTTGATCCTGTATCCAGTGAGGCTTAGAATCTAGTAGTAGAACAGGCTGCTGAACTTCTCAGACAAGTTTCCTTGCCTTCAGTGTTTCTCAAACTTGGGTCACCAGCTGTTGCTGGACTACAACTCCCACCATCCCTAGCTAGAAGGACCAATGATGAGGGATGATGGGAGTTGTGCTCTCATCAGCATCTCAACTAAGCAATGGCACTCTCCAAGAAGGGACGTGGATAGGCTTCCTTGCTCCCTGCACTTGGCTAGATGCCACCTCATCCTAGGTTAGACGAACAATAGCTAGAGTTGTGTCTGGGAGTTTGCTGGCTGGTGCTGGAAGCTGGATGCAGAGACATGTCAGTTTTGTACATGACTTGGCAATTCCCTGGAAACTTAATCAAGAAGCAAGATCTGTTGGGGTGTTAATGCTGTGAGCCCCTCCATCCTATGTTCTTTCTCTGTGTGTAAACAAAGCCACATATCCTAAAAATACCACAGTCGCCACTGAACTTCATTCCAAGGAAACTGAACCCTGGATAAGTGCAGGAACCCCTGCAGTCTTTCGCTGCTTGGAGATTCGGGTTGCATGCAACAGTATACAAAAGGTCATTCTAACCTAGGTCCAAAGCAAAATACGGCCGGCACTCATTTGAACATCCAACCAGCATGGAATCCTCTATCTTTTCTTCGCTCTGTCTGAACTTCTCTAGAATCCTCTTAATTTCTGAAAACCAGACAAACAGAGGAAGAGGAAGCTTAGAAAGGCACATCAGCACAACATTGGTTAACATTTCTGTAATCTGGGACAGCTGTAGGGCTGGGCGATGTCAGCTTTTCAACATTGCGATGTATCACCAGCCAAACATCACGATATGATGAGGGGAAGCTAGGAGAGGGAAGGATGAGCACCGTCTCCTTGCTCACTAGCTTCCCCGGCACCACAGTCCCTTCCCCTCAGGGCAGCCTATTCTCCAAGGAGCTCATTTGTACTCTGGACTCCGGTGCACTCCTGCCCAATCTGAAGTCTCCTTCACCACCCGCCTGATTCTCCACACTCCTTCACCGCACGCCCAATCTCACTGCTCTTTCCTTCACACACTCACACCCTGATTTCAAACATCCTTCACCACATGCCTGATTCTCCCTGTGCCTTCCTTCTCTCTCACACACCCTGATTTCAAGCATCCTTCATCACTGATGTATCAGCACATCGCCCAGGCCTAGACCGCTGTCCTAAAACAAAAGCCACAGGTATGTTTTATAAATCTCTACCACAAAACCTGAAGTTGTTTAGAAATTTGTTTCACAGTTGAAAATTTCATAGAAACATAAGCACAGCCTTGCTAGTGCTTGTGGCACCTCTAGTCCAGAGGTTTTCAACCTTTTTGAGTCCATGGCTCTCTTGACCTACTACATTCTTTCTGCGGCATGCCTATGCGGCTCAGAAATCCAGTTATGCCACCCCTTGCCATCATGCTTAAAAGTTTCCTGAAGGAACACCAGGAATTGAAGTTTTATTAGAGTGCTGATAGCTTCCTGCTAAAAATTTCTAACTCCCTGCCTTCTCTCCCCACCCCCACCCCACCATTTAAACTCAGTGATACAGAAGCCAACCACAGGAGGAGGCAAAACCAACGACAGGCAGAGACAACAAATTCTAGGTTTATCCCTGTCCTCTCTCATCCTTCTCACTGTTGAGTTCTCCAAGGGCAACACTGAGGCTGAGGTGGAAGGAAGCGGACAGGCAGTGCTTCCTGCTGGACTGCTTGTAAGTTCTAAGGCTGGCAGGTGGGGGCTGGCTGGGGGCAGACTGAGGTTAGTGGGGCAATGCCTTCTTTCCCCTAATGGACCACCTTCCACTGCTTAATCTGCTGTTCTCTCAGGTTCTTTGGGAGCAGGCACTAAAAGCATCTTTAACACCTTAACAAATAGGACATTTCTCTCGAAAAGGAAGGATTGTTGCAGAATAAACTTGTTACCTGCTGCATTTAACTTTGGCGCCAGGAGCATGTTTCCTTTCTCTTGCAAGAAGGGAGAGTAGTTGTGAAACAGGAAGAAAGTTCCTGAGTTAGAGGCTTTCCTGCAAGCGTCATCATTGTCTTTTAGCTCGGACATATACCTGCAGGTGGAAAAGGATCAGAAAGTGCAGCACATGAAGAAGACTAACTGTGCAAGCCTACGCATCTGTTCCTATGGTATTTTCTCTGGGTGAGTTTCCTACTGCAGCCCAACATGTGATTTCCTTACTTACTTCTACACAGAAGTAAGTCCATCTCAGATCAATGGGGGTTATTCTGTGGTAGAATCTGTTGTTGCATTCTCGATCTTTGTGCTCCAGATACTTGAAAAAATACTGATAATACAAGGTCTATTATTGACTGATTGATTGAATTTATATCTTACCTTTCCTCCCAAACAAGCAAACGGATCCATAATTTAGTAACAACAGCAACAAAACCCAACATTCTAAAACCTTCTAAAAACAATTACAGTGAAAACGAAAAACAGTTACAATTAAAAACACAATCCTATCCAGAGATTGCTACGAACAGTAGTCTTCGGCCACCAAATGTCTGGGTAATTAAAACAGTTAAGCTGTAAAAACATACTGGAGTAATTCTAGCTTTATCCCATTAACAACAAATTCTAGCATATTGGGCTCAACAAAGGGAAACCCCAAATTCCTCACAGGTTAAGCATTTACCTCATTCTCTTGACATAGGTTGAATGCAGCCTGGAATACAGAGAAGAAGCTCTTCTATATCCCACTCGATAGACCAAAGTGATTACCATCTTGTGTGCCATAGCTTAAAAACAAGAAAAATACCATATTATTATTAATAAGTCATACATATGCACAGATATACATCTTCAAGGATATATATGCACGCACACGCACGCACACACACACACACACGACTTATAATAACCCTGATGGATCCTCTAATTCATTTATGAATGAGGAAAATCAACACTGTGAACCCATATTGCATTTTTGGGAAAATCAAGTTCTTTCAATATTCAATAAAAATGAAGACCGATTTACCACAAGCATACCTTACTGCCTTTTCTCTCTCCTGTTCTTTTAAAAAGTGTAAGTTGAACCATTAATGCAAACACCCACATTTTCTGTCTGCTCACCTACAGAAGGTATCTTTTACAGTCTCCATTTTTTTTGCCAATAAAACTCTTGCTACTGCAACCATGCATGAAATGAATTCCTTATGTTTCACCTTAACTGCACCACCCAAACAGAACAGGAAAAAACAAACAGGGTGCCATAGGATCCTGTAGTATCCTCAGATCTTTACTGTCTGACAACAGACATTTGAGAAGAAACTGTACTTTGCCCTAAAAGTCACAGACAGAAGAGAGTTCAGGAACAGCTACAAAAGCTCCAGTTCTTCCTACTTACCAGAAAAAAGTCCTTATTTTCTAGTAGCTGTCCCTCTCCGTGGAATGTATTTTAAAAAGCACAAAGGTATATTAACTTTCCTTCCATTCTATCCGCCAATAACAGCTGCTGCCTGCATTACAGTTGCAGCTATTCTATCAAGCAGGAGACTAAAATGCATTCCTATGCATGTTTACTCAGTAGAAAGTCCTTGACTCCCACTAAATTTGATGGGATTTATTAATTATTTCTGTTTCTATACCATTTGCCATTCAAAATTGCAAAGCGGGTCATAGATAAATGTATATGTATATAATGTATATAAATGTATATAAAAATATTTAAAAGTATAAAATATGCAATAACAATGGAAATACTGTAACTTCAGTTGCAAGATGATTTACTGACATGGTGCAGAGTTAAGAGTATCTGATTTGGGAGAAACCCAGGATGAAATCTCTACTCAGTCATGTGACTCAGAGTCACAGCCTCTGAGCTTACTCAGTACTTCTACAGTAGTACTACAGTAGGCGAACAAAAGTCTTCAGGCATATGCAAAAGTGGAAAGAGAGAAGCACTCAGAAATTAATTTTTAGTTTTGAAAACAAGATGTGTTCCTTATTACAAATGTCCTATTTCTATCTGTGCAATGTCAAAGAGCAAGAAAGAGTTATATGTAAGCGGGATTTCTGTCATCAGGGAAGGAATTCAAAGTCCCAGCAAGGCTCTGTGGCGGGTTCTTCCATACCGTAAATGCTAAATCAGTCACAGAGAAGTTGAACTTCAGATCTCAAATGTGCAGATTTGCTTTTTCCTCCAAGCTGCTTCTCAGTCTTAAATCCCTGCAGGGTCAGACAGTAGTCAAGAATGACAAATGAAAGCTACAGTATTCACTTACTGTTATATAAAAGCACACGGCAGTTTCCGTCGGCAGGAAGCATTTAGCAAACACTCCACACTGATTGGCGCTCGGTTCAGCTTGTCTATTAATCCGAACTACACTACCCATAATCCTTTGGCTCAAAATGGGCCTCTGGGAAGTGTAGTTCAGCAGGTACAATTCCTTTAACAACATAACCAAGAGTGAAGGTACCTATGCTGAAAGTGCTCTAAAGTGCTTACCAATGTTAGTAGGATTTGGACAGCCCCTTCCTCATTTTCCTCCAACGTTGGTTTAAATCAGGGGTCAGCAAACTTTTTCAGCAGGGGGCCGGTCCACTGTCCCTCAGACCTTGTGGGGGGCCAGACTATATGTTGCCATGATTATGACCCACATTTTTTGCAAAAACCCTTATTGGGACCAACCCCAATGTTGCACAAATGTGATTTGGGGGGGGGGGGATGTTTCCTCATACACACACGCTGCTTCCTTTGCGTTTTAGGTGTTGACAGTTATTATTTCTCTCGTAAGGCGGCGTGGGGGGCTGAGGTAAGTGCGCCATTCCTGTCAGCCCTGGAGAGCATGTGCACATGCGTGGGTGAAAGGAAAAGCCGTTGGCCACACTAAGTCAGGCCGGTGCCACTCAAGCAAAAACATTCTTTTCCCCGCGTGAGGGAAGACGAGGCGGCGGCTGCTATTTACCTTTCCATGGCTCGCACCGTGTAGCTAACAAGCAGCCTCCCCAGTGGAAATCCGAACTGTGGCTCTTTTTCACTCTTCCCCACCCCGGAAGGAAATATTGCTGCATGCGCGTGACGGACGGAGAAGGGGCTTGTCTCGAGCAGCCGCCTGCCTCACTTTTGACCCCCAAGCCTGGCTGAGTTGCAAAAACCATCGCACGCGTGAGCTATGCTGGCTGACTGGACCATCTGCAGGCTGGATCTAGAAAGCAATTGGGACTGATCCGGCCCACGGACCTTAGTTTGCTGACCCATGGTTGAAATTTATGCAATGCTTCACACAGCCAAAAGGAGTCCTGAAAGGCAATAGTACACAAAAAAATAAAGCTAACAATAGAAAATGTGCTAAAGCAATGCAAATATACTAAAAGTGTTTCTCCAAAAAATTATCTATCATATAAAATATACACTCTCATCAAACACAATAATGAACACCAAAAATTATTATTGTGGCCAGGGTGAGCACTTCAATACATAACAATTATAGCAGGAAAGTATTGTTACTAATTATTGGCAATAATCACAACCAAAAATAAATGAGCAAGCCACTTTTTAAAAGCAACAACAGCATATTTGTTAAACTTTGGCTTTCCGAGAGGCATCTAGTTGGGGAAAAGGATGCTGAACTAGATCTTATCTTCCTCTGCCCTTACGTTACTAGTGTTTACGCAGAATTGCTATACTATTGTTTTCTAATTTCCCAAATAAGACTGCCAACTCAAATTTCTGGTTTCTGTATTGCGACTGCAGGTGACCTTTCTAGTTGTGATAGTGGAACTCAGAGCCAGGCCCTGGGCAGAAGCAGCTATTTATTTATGGATCCAGCTTTTGGTGCGGTTTGGAGCAGAACCCAGAATAAATGCGTAAGATGCCACGCAAATCTTTTTGTATTCATCTGATGTGAACCATTAAGGGAGGAGGAGGGGAACCAGCCTTAACTGCCTCTTGCTTCTCTGGCAACTGGCCCAGCAGCAAAATCACATTTACAGGAACAAATGCACCTGCTTTGTACCAAGCCAGGTAATTGGTCTTTCTACCTCAATGTTGGAGAGCTGCTACAGCCGGCAGCAGCTCTCCAGAATTTCAGTCAGAGAATTTCCTCAGTTCTACCCAGGGCTTTTTTTCAGCCAGAACTCCTCAGAGCCTGGAGTTGTTGGAGTACTGCAGCCAACACTGATCTTACTGAATGAGGAGTCAGTAACAATATTCAGTCTACAGTGGTACCTCGGGTTACATACGCTCCGGGTTACATACGCTTCAGGTTACAGATTCCGCTAACCCAGAAATAGTACCTCGGGTTAAGAACTTTGCTTCAGGATGAGAACAGAAATTGTGTGATGGCAGCGGGAGGCCCCATTAGCTAAAGTAGTACTTCAGGTTAAGAACGGACCTCCAAAACGAATTAAGTTCTTAACCCGAGGTACCACTATATAGGGGGGTAAAGTTAAATGAAGTCTCTGAAGCTGTGTAGATTAAAACAACCACTTTGAGGATGCCATTTGTATGCTTAAGGCACTCTGCTGATGAATTCTTAAACTAAACTAAACTAAACTAAACTAAACTAAACTAAAAATAAATAAATAAATAAATAAATAAATAAATGGGAGTATTTATAAAGTATATTGATAGTGCCATGCTTTTTGTTTTGTTCTCAAAGACAGTAATAAAGGTTGCCAGGCATTTAACTGGAAGATAAATATCCATACACAATTTTAAAAACGAGCCGTTACGGGGATACGGCACACTTGTTCTTCGAATGATATACAGCACTGCCGAGTTATGCTTGAGTGTTTCTCACGAGCTTCTTGAACATAGCAAACACTATCCAGTTAATACACAAGGCTAATAGGATTAACTGAGAAAACAGCTCACATAAATCTCTTTATAACAAGCAAGACTAGAGTAGTGTCTATGATAAAGGAAATGTCTAGCTTGCTTGGCAGAAATATAGATGGAGCTTTCGTCTATTAACATATAATGCTTCTAACAGAGTTTACTTGAAAAATTACTTACTGTGTTATGCTGTGGGTAAGGAGACTGATTTTATAAGCCATTATGGTCACATTGGCACTATGCATTTAACTCAGTATGATGCCCCTGTAACAGTCATGGCTTTCACCAAAGAATTCTGGAACTATAATTTTTTAAGCGTGGTGGGGGTTGTTGGTGCTAGTTTGGTAAAAGGAAAAAATAAAATATATTAAAATAAAAAGAATTCCCTGGCTGCCTAAGATCCAGTTTTTTGGGTGAGTACTCTTTGGTGAGGAAGCCCCAGCAGAGATTTAAAATCACAAAAATGCACCAAAGTAAAGTGTGGAAATATAGACCTTTAACCCTTACAAGTTGCTTCCAGAGTTCCCCACTTCCCTTAGCACAGAAAGAGACTACACATTTGGGAAGTTAAAAAATGCTTTACTTACAAACTCTCCAAAGGTCATATTCATGTGCTTTTCCATACAGCACTACAAAACACAGGCAGTTTAACTGAGGTTCCAAAAAGAGGTACAGTGGTGCCCCGCAAGACGAATGCCTCGCAAGACGGAAAACCCGCTAGACGAAAGGGTTTTCCGTTTTGGAGGTGCTTCGCAAAACGAATTTCCTATGGGCTTGCTTCGCAAGACGAAAATGTATTGCAAGTTCCTGCAGGGTTTTTTTCATTCCCCCCCCCCTTTTTCCCAAGCCGCTAAGCCACTTATCAGCTGATCCGCTAAGCCGCTTATCAGCTGATCCGCTAAGCCCGCTAAGCCGCTAATAGCGCTAATCCGCTAATGGTCTTGCTTTGCAAGACGAAAAAACCGCAAGACGAAGAGACTCGTGGAACGGATTCTTTTCGTCTTGCGAGGCACCACTGTAAATTATTTGTATAGAAACACAAAGATGGTTTGCTTAAACCAAGCGGTCTAAGCTTGGGGCATCCAGCTTTGACCTTGTCACTTGGTGCAAGTGGGAGAACAAAGGACAGGGTACTCTATGGCTTCATACATACATTAGAGTTAAGCATACTGGTTATATGAGGCGGATTTATCCCAGTTACATAACCTCTATTCCTCTCAGACCATTGTAGCTCTGTGAGGAGAACCGCGGTCTCTAGCACTGCTTATAAACCTTAAACTACAGTTCTCATGATTCTTTAGGGGAAACCAAGTGGTATCATAGTGCCTTAAAATATAGTGCAGATGTGGACTATATGTGTTACGTTGTTCCATAAGTAGGCCCCGCAGATGGTCCTGACCCCAACAACATGTGATTTCCCTCCTACCGCACCATAACATTCACCTGTTGGCTTTCTGAGCAGGGGAAGCCTATGCACATAGGGTTCCATGGGAACTGTGACCCCAGTCATTGCTGAGATGTCCCATGCTCAGTGTGAGGACACTGAGGACAGGGCCAGCTGTGCAGCTCCACTGCCACTTCCAGAGTGTGGACCATGTGTGCACATATAATATCTGAAGTAGCTACTGTTGGGCTAAAGATGGGTTCTGGTCTAAGAATGTTAATGACTACCGTTCTAGGTCATACTATGGGGAACATCCCCATGGAGCATCCTCCTAAAGGAAAAACAAATACACCTTTCCATTATTTAAAAAACCCCAAAGTAAGAGTTGCTTCCGTGTAGTTAAGTCCCACACCACACTGGTAACATCAGAAGGAAGGATTTATACGGACTGAGCAAATTACATGGTTCTTACTGTTGTTGTTACAGTGGTACCTCGGGTTACATACGCTTCAGGTTACACCGTTACAGACGCCGCTAACCCAGAAATAGTACCTCGGGTTAAGAACTTTGCTTCAGGATGAGAACAGAAATTGTGCTCTGGCGGAGCAGCGGCAGCAGGAGGCCCCATTAGCTAAAGTGGTGCTTCAGGTTAAGAACAGTTTCAGGTTAAGAACGGACCTCCGGAACGAATTAAGTTCTTAACCAGAGGTACCACTATACTACTACTACTAACACAACCATGAAAGCATATCTCACAAGGCAACAGTTACTGCTGGAGTCAGTCCAATGTAATGTCTGGAATATACAAAACAGGCATTAAGATACCAGCACACCATTATTATTATTATTATTATTATTATTATTATTATTATTATTATTATTATTATTGATGGGCGCTGATTGTGGGGTGGGTACTCCTCATGCCTGCAAGCTTCAGCATCAGAATGCCAGCCCCTTATTCCAGATTAATTCTAGTTCATCCAGACTGAACTTTTCGGGGGGGGGGGAATCCAAAACAAAATCCTGTTGCCAATAACCCATGATTGGCAGTATCTGAACAACCCACTTACGCTTACGGTATTAATCTTGAGCAACCCTTCACCCCTAGAGCAATCCATGAAACCATGAAATGATCAGTCCGTTTTGAGCTACCCATTATGCCCTACAGAACACTTTCTTGTCTGCAGAAGCCTGGCGACGTAGGAGCGTTTTCAGCGCTATTGATGAATAAAATAAAAATAAAAATTAAAGCTCTTTCCCCCACTCTTTTCGCCCCGTTACGTAGCAGCGCACCCCTGGGCATGTTTCCTCCTGCATAAGGAGCCCCGCTGTGTTCGATGGGCAATTCCGCCGCGCGCGCCCCCTCGGGAAAAAAAAACCCTTTCCCAATTAATTCCAGGCGCTAATTGTCCCCCAAGAGAAGAGGAGAGAGAAGGGGATGGAGCCGGGTCTCGCGCCTGCGCATTCGCCGGGGGCGCTGCTGCTGTGCCCGGCCTCACGTACAGCTCGGGCGGCCGCGTTCCGAAGGGGCCGCCTCCCAGGGCCGGCGGTGGGCGGGATCCCGGCCCGCATAAGCATTCCGAAAGGGGCCTTGCTGCGTGCAGTCCCGGACCGGGCGGAGAGGCGGACAGGGCTCAGCAGCGGCAGCAGGAGCAGCTTGGGCGGCTTTCCTCCGAGGTGCGTGCAGGGGCTTTTCTTCCCATTTCCCACCCACTTCCCCC